TGACCAGGCCAGGGAGAATAAATAAAATAAGAACATACATCAAAGGTAAAGTTTGGCAGCCCAGGAATAAATAGAAGATAAACCATTGAGGCCCTGGAAACAATGTCATGATGACCCCAAGTTGGTAATTTAGCATATAGAAAATAAGGGCGTGCCAGGGGAGGGCTTTCTAGGCGTGGTGTGTTCTGTGTAAGGATATAAAATGCATTATTAAAATAGAGAAACTTGCTCTCCTTGTACTCCATCCAATTGAGAAGGGTCTTGGAAGCCGCGCTTGCACCCGCATTTCAATAAACCTTAGAAATTGTGAACTAGAGACTTGTCTTCATGTTGCGAGTCAGAAATTTTTCCTGATGAGCGACATAACAGACAAAATTATTTGGGAATTTTAAATCTCACAAAGAGGAAAGTCTGAAAGAGACTGATAAAGTTCAAAAAGCCTTTGATCTGCCACCAGCCCCTCCTTTTAACAGCCTTCTGATTTGGAGTCAGGGAAAGCCACTTCTACTCATAAAAATACAATGCTTTCTTAAAGATAATAGATCATTGACAGGCAAGAATCTGGCCAGTCAATATTTAAAAGCATTGAGAAATTTTAGCACCTCTGCCTGGCCAGGAAGATTTTTCCTGATGAGTGACATAACAGACAAAATATTTTCTAAGTTCTTCTGACCATAAAAGTATTATCAACACCTGTGCTTCCTGTTTTTCTGTGGCCATGAAACTCACACTCTGGTGACCTCATGTCTTACACAAAAGGCTTAAAATGATATTGTGGAAAGGGAATTTCTCAAAGACAGTAGTGTCACTCAAAAAGGAAAAGCCCAAGGGGAACATCAGGCCAGCCATAAAACAAACTTACATAGGAAAAGGAATCAAATAAAAGATATTAAAGAATCCCTATAGAGTTTGCCCTCCGGCAGGAATAAAGACAAACTCAAACAGGATTTGAAACATTAAGCACAAATACAAACATTCACATGAAATCAACTCACAAAGGGAGAAAAGGGTATAAAAAACCAGGGACTTACCATAAGACTCTAGCTAGCCCAGGAACGCAGACTTCTCACTGTCCCCCACCTTCCTGAAAAATAAAAAGATCCAGCTTTCAAGCAGTTGTCCATATCCTTGTGCCAGAGCTCTCCCAGCGGGAAAATCAAATCCTCGATGGAAAGGCATTTTGCCACCTTTCAACAATTGGCGACCAAGAAGGTTTTCCAGCCAACCCTGCCACCGGACCGGGCCCGCGGATCCAAACCCAGCCAGCATGGACCTTCTTTGTCCAGGGACAACATCCACGGACCAGCCCAGAAGGTATAGGGTAGTAAAGGGAGTCCTTGGGCTTTTCTGCTCAACAGCTGCTTGAAAGCAAGTGAGTACCGCTTCAAATTTATAATCTTACTAGTGAGGGGAGTGGAAGTGTGAGTGGACCAGGTGTGTGATTGTGGGTTTTCTCTGCGGAAACAGCGGGACCTCACCTCCTCCGTGATTGCCAGCCGCACCCCAGCCAGCTGCTAGCTCAAACACGAGCCATGACCGGCTGGATTTGGGAACGCAAAGGGTGATCACGGAGTGTGAGTCCTTCTGAAGGATGTAAGAAAAACCGAGCAGGCTGCAAAAGGAACTGGTGTTAGGAAATAAATAAAAAACAGAGAAAAAATAGTCCCGGTACATCCTGCAAGCAAAGCCCTGTGCATTTAGGAGGGGCCCATACCGGCTGCTGACAAACAAAATTGGAAATACTTTGTCTAAAAGCAGAGTAGGTCCTTCCAAATCCCCACCTTTAAGGGAGATCTGAAAACTGACGGCTGAGTGTAGGGAGGGGCCCATACCGGAGCTGCTAGGGGGCAGACGGTCTTCCAAGATCCCTGTTTTTTAGGGGGGGGGGGGGTTTAAAAACGGACGGCTGGGTTTCCCTAAAAGAAAGGGGCCCGTACTCCATGTGTAGGGAAACCGGAGTCCTTTCCAGACCCTTTTTGTCTGAAAACTGACGGCTGTAGCCCGGCTAAACCAAAGTAATCTCTACATCAGGTAGGGAATATGGGAAGTTGTAGCTCGAGGGCAATGGAAGAGACCCCCTTGGATAAATTACTTGAGGCTTGGGATGAAAGGCAAGTGCCTGTCCTGACTGGAATGCATAAAAAAGAAGCAAAAAAGAATTTGCAAAAAGTGGGCTTTATTGCGAGATGACACGGGTAGACAAATTTGGCCTGATAGCGGTGCTTTAGATTATAAAACCCTGAAAGCACTTAGAACATGGATTAAACCCAGCCAAATACCCTAGTGGTACTGCTGGGCTGAAATGGCTAGGACCAAAGACCTGACTGAGGGAAAAGATCAGGAAAAACCTGAAACCCATTCCCTGGAAGGAAAGACTGAGGCACGGATTATGGCTCCCCTTTTAAGCAAACCAGGGCCAGGCAGAAATAGGGGACAATTAAAATACGTTTTTACTCACACTCCCTTCTCTGCCTCTGACTTGGACATCTGGAAAAAGGATACCCCAGCTTTCAGGGCTGATCCTCAAACAGTAATTCAAACCCTGAAATCTATTATAGACAGCCATAATCCATCCTGGGGTGATATGACCCAGCTGCTACAAGTCTTTCTAACTAAAGATGAACTATTAGAACTATTTGAAAAAACAGACCAAATAGCTAAACTACCAACTATCCCTGGACAGGCAGCCCCAGCCCACATCACATGGCCAGTACATCGCCCTGACTGGGACTACAATGATACCAATCACTGGGATGAATACATAAGAGCAAAAAATAACTTACTAGAAGCTTTAGATGAAATAGGTAAAATGCCTTTAAACTGGTCAGAATTTCAAAAAACAACACAAAGAGAAAAGGAAAACCCTGATGCCTTTTGGGTCTGCCTGTCAGAAGCAGCTATTGCATATGCCCATCTAGACCTTAGCTGCCTGAAGGACCAGAGGATTTTAGCTTCAGCCTTCGTGGACCAGTCCACCATGGATATCAAAGAGCATTTCCACTGCTTCGTCTCTAACTGGCCAACCTTAGAAATTGCAGAGCTGCGCAGGATTGCTAACTTTGTCTATGATCAAGGAGACAAACTGAAAGAGGAAGAGAAAGATAGAAAGAGGAGGATAGAAAGACAGGAGGACTTAAAAATGTTTGCTGTAATGCAACATGATGCCAGACAAGCGCCAGGTAAAAACCCCTATAATTCAAGGATATGCTGGCATTGTGATAAAGCAGGATGGTCGCAAGGCAAATGCCAGCATTGCTATAGGTGCGGACAGGAAGGGCATTTCAGCAGGCAACGTAGGCAACACCTTTCCCACAACCAGTATCACCCACCACCTAGAAACATGAATCCAGGCAATAATCCAGTCCATTACACCGAACAACAAAGCTTTAATCATCATGCACCACCCAGCGCTCCTTTTCCTCAAATAAATCATAGCAATGGACCTCAATGGGAGCAAAGAAGGGAAAATGACCTGCCCCTTTCCTGACTAGAACATGAGAATGAAAACACTGAATTCATGGCTACCTTTAATGGGCTGGCTATTCCCCTTTAAAAAAAAAAAACAGCCCTGAAGGGGAACCATTGTCACCATTCTTATAGGAGGGAAAAAATACAATTGCTTAGTTGACACTGGAGCCACCTCCTCATTAATTACTGAACCACCATATAAAGCTTCAGTGGCTGAAGGGGCTCGGGATAGCATAATGGGAGTGGGGGGGGAATAATCCCTGTAGAATTTACCACAACGTAACAGTAGAACTAGGACCTTTCACAGTAGCTCAAGGGGCTGTCCCCTGCTTAAGAGCCGTGGTGGCTACAGTCGAACTTGTGAAACGATCTAAGGATTTAGTACTAGGACATCCACTATTGCTGAAAGTCCCCCATGAAGTTTTTGC